CTGGCCTTGTGATGAGCACCTGATAATGTATATAATAGGAGGTTAAAAGGAAACTGAACCAACAGACTGAACTCCAAAGGAAACTTTATTTGCTTCTGAAGTGGAACCTTTTAGTTCAATTCAGTCCAATAAGGATTTGATATGCACCTATGTATGCAAGACACTGTAATTGTCACAGTGGATATGAGCACAAAATAATAAACTATTCTTTGCCCTCAAGGGGATCACAATCATTGAGACAGTAGTTTCCATAAGAAATGCAAACCGGTTAAGAGAGTACCAGAGTTTCCATCTGCCTCCCACATTTCCTCATTCCTAAGCAATTGTACAGCCACCTATCAAGAGGAGGTGATATCTGGACTCTGTTTCAGTGTTCAAAGCAACATCCAAGCCTGAAAGAGTGTGAAAGCCCTTGACTTCAATGGCAAACACACTGGGAGTTTTAAGGGGGGACTTCTGTATAACAGTTCCCTTAAAATAAAGAGTCAAGGAAATGTCACGAGATTTCAAAGTTACAAGTTTATAAATATTTTTTGGAAGAAAAGCAGAAAACTGAGCATAATGTCCATCTTCTAGCTTACTGATATACTTCAGCCTGAGTAAAATTGGAGCCTTCAGCCCTAATATGTCAGGAAGGGCATGCTCTCCCTATCAAACCAGATACTCAGAGAATAAAAGAGAAAAATAGAGAACAAGTAGGTCTAATTCAGTACCATTCTTTTTTTTTTTTTTAAAGAAGGATGCTATAGAAGTTCATGCTCAGCCACTAATAGTTCATTTCAGAAAATGGGCTGCACTTGTGCTCAGACCTGTGATTTCATTGTTATCAAGTACTCTTGGTGAAGAAACTCTCTCTACCAATGCAGATCAGCAATTATTCTGCAATTTCCAATCTCCGAGCATTACCTAGTGTCACATAGCCATTTTGAATTCAGAGGTCTTCCTGATTCAGACTATGGCTTTCTATCCATTATGTCATACTGCCTGTAAGAGGTATCTACAGTCAGTATGATAGGCAGCTAGGTGGCACAGTAGATAGAGTATTGGGCCTAGAGTCAGGAAGACTCATCTACCTGAGTTCAAATCCAGCCTCTGATGACATTTACTAGCTGTGTGACTTTGGGCAAGTCACTTAACTCAACTTGCCTTAGTTTCCTCATCTATAAAATCAGCAGGATAAGGAAATGGCAAGTCACTCTAGTATCTTTGCCAAGAAAACCCCAAATGGAGTCACAAAGACTTAGACATGACTGAAATTACTGAACAACAACAACAACAAATAGTGTGAGTGAGAGCAGTTAGGATTGAAACGTATCTCACAATATCCCTTGGTTTGCATTTATTTGATATGCTTTCAACATACATCAGATGTACTCTGATATATCTCATTCTATAGTCCATTCTCTCTTTTCTATGGAGAGATGATGAACATGAGGAATTCAGAAAATTTGAGATTTGTTTGAAATGATGGAGAGCAGAACTAAACAAGGAATAAATGAAATGAATAGAATAGTGTAAAGGAAAATATTTTTAGAGGGAGTTGAGGTTTAAGTAATTAAAAGAAAAACAGTGAAGGTCTTGGTGAAGAGACAGTGAAATACAATTCCTCCCTTATGGCAGAGAAGTAGGGGAATACTAGGATACAATAGTGTATACGTTGTTAGTTGTTTCTCAGTCATCTGTTTGGTCAATCATTTTTCTTTGTCACATGAGTGGGTTTAATCTGGGAGGGGAACACTATGATTTTAAGACAAAAAAATTATAAAATGATCTTTAAAAATTAAAAAAGACATACAGAAGACAGAAGCAAGTTTACATAATGGAGCATGGATACAAACCTGTGGCATGGCACTGCAAAAATAATGTCAAGACTACTTAATCTAAAAATGAGTTGAGGTTGGCATGGGAAACTAAGGAAAATGAAAAAACATTTCTTTTTTGGGTTTTTTGTTCATTTTATTTTTTAGCAATATTGAGGGGGGAAAGGAGAATGAAAGAAGGGATATATAGGGCCACTGATTGGGGTAGATAGGATGAAAAAAATTGATAAGGGAGAGAAGGTTGAGCTGCTCATTTCTCATTTACTTTTTGTTTTCTTTGTTAAAGAGAATTATTTAGACTAGAAAGGATAGAACAAAAATGGTCAATAGTGAACTGATATTCAAGCTAAGTAAGAAAATAGGAAGGGAGAACTTATCTGTCTTTATTGAGTTCAAGTCACCGAGCCCAGATGAAATACATCCTAGGATACTAAATGAACTGGTAGATGTTTTGCTGAGTCAGTGATGTGTGAATGATCATGAAAAACAAGAAAGTTCCTGTAGAATTAGCAAAAGGCAAATGAACTCCTTCTCCAAAAAAGGAGAAGAATGGAGACTGAAAATCATGTGCTAGTGAGCTTGCCTTTTATTCTAAAGATTCTAAAGATTCTTTAATCAAGATTCTAAAATGTGTTCTTAAGGGGCTAGCTAGTGACCATCTAGAAGAGGATTCAATGATCACAAAGAACCAGCATGACTTAATTAAGAGTATGTCTTCTGGGATTGAACTGAGTCCTTTATTTTTTTTTAGACAAAGTCACTGGGCTGGCCAATCAGATAATCCCATATAATTAATCCAAATGTTAGCAAACCATTTGATAGTCTCTCATGTTTCCAGTGGAAAAGATGGATAGATGTGTACTAAACAATAGGGTAACTAAGTGGACTTAAAACTGTTTAAATGACTAGACACAAAGAGTAAGTCATTAATGATAGTATGTCAACTTGAAAGGAGGGCTCATTTGGCATTCCCAAGGATGTGTGTTTAGCCCTGTGATGTAGAGCATTTTTCTCAATGATTTGAATAAAGGCATAGATGGCATGTTTATCACATTTGTAGATGACATGGAACAAGGATGAATAACATATCCTAAATAACATATCCTAAATGAGTATTCCCAAATCTCAATAGACTACATATGTGATCATTTTAAAATCGCAATTTCCTCATCAGTAAGATGGAGATAATAAGAATACTTCCACTAACTCTTCCCTGGGCTTATGAGGACACTGATTTGTATAGCTTTTGAAAGAAATGTCATTACCAGAATTATGAAATGCAATGGGAAACCTTTATGCATAATTTTTGTAGGTAGCTAGGTGACACAGTGCATAGCATGTTGGAATTGGAGTCAGGAAATCTGGAGTTCAAATCCTGCCTCAGAAACTTTCTGTCTGTGTGACTCTGGACAAGTAATTTAACTTCTTTCAGCCTAATTTCCTCATCTTGAAAATGGAGATAATAATAGCACCTACTGTCCAGGATTGTTGTGAGGATCAAATGAGGCAATATTTGTAAAGTGTTTTACAAACTTCAAAGTGCTATACAAATGTTTGATATCATTAGGAGTAAACTTTTACTATATATATATATATATACATATATATATACACGCATGTTTTTTTAAGTAGTTAAAGGCATTATAGAACAATGGGAATAACTATGGAAGAACTGAGGCCAAATCAGTTTATGTATTACCTATTGTCAGGCAGTTAGGTGGTGCAGTAGATAGAGCACCCTAGTAGCTGTGTGACCCTGAGCAGATCACTTAACCCTGTTTGCCTCAGTTTCCTCATCTGTAGAATGAGTTGGAGAAGGAAATGGCAAACCACTCCAGTATCTTCACCAAGAAAATTTGAAATGAGGTCATGAAGAGTCAGACACGAATGAAAACAACTGAATAACAACATAGTCTCAGAGAACCTCCTGGGGCCCAGAAATGTTAAGGGACTTGCCAGGTCATGCAGCCAGAATGTCAGAGGCTGTACATGTATCCAGTTCTTCTTAGCTTGAAAGTCGCCTCTTTATTGGTAATATAAAACCAATTAATATACTTAGGAAAACCTTCTACTTTGGGACCACAAAGATCTTTGCCTTCATCAGTACAAGTCCTCCTTCAACTAATTACAATTACAATCTTTCTACAAATGAAGAGAAGACCTTTAGAAGTTGCTCTGGTGGAAAAAAAAAAAACATTCATCTCCCTGTGATCAGCCTGATAAGTTTTTCTGACTTAGCTAGGCTGATGCTAAGACAACAGCTAGGCAGCCCATCTCTGGGTATGGACTAGTCAACTTTCCAGCTTGGTAAAATCCACCAGAACTTCTGTTCCACTGGCCTAGATATCAAACTGCAAGGAAACACTGGCAGACCTGGCTAAGGACAGGGTAAAGATCCTACCTGTGGATGTCTACAGAAGAATTCTCTTTGATTCTAATGTTATAGCAGTGGTCAGGGCTGACCTCAGCTGGTGGTCATCCTTTCCCATGCCCTCTCCTCCCCTGCATGGGAAGAGGGGCAATATTTGGGTCCCAGGCATGAGCCAGGTCAAAGGGACATCCATCTCTAAGGGGCCAGAAAGAGTCAGAAAGGCTATCACTTTTCACCTGTCATGGGCTGCAAGTTCATGGGAAACCTGGTGATAGATCAGTCAGAGACAACTTGCTTCTGAATTGGGTGTTTATACCTATCAGACCAACTAGCTGCCTGAGGGTCTATTGAAATAGAATTTTGAATGTTCTAAAAGAGATAGAGGGATTCATAGAATCTTAGTACTGTAAGGAACCTAAGAGTCCAACTGTCCAGGAAACTAGAGAAAGAAAACAGAGATTTAGTGGTTTGGACCCACGAAAAGCTAAAACTTATTTGAATTAAGCAGAAGGTGATTCATCATCTGACTAAGAGATCACATGGCTCTGGAGGCAGAAAACTTCACAAAAGTATGCTGGCTTAGTGATCAGTATGATTTAGATGCCTAGTAGCACTCCTTAAAAGTCTGTCTTTGGTCATTAGCTTCTTGTATAAACTTGAACAAGCCACATTGCATATCAGTTTGTCCATTTATAAAAGGAACAAAACAGCTCAGTAAAGTTTCTTGACTTGTCTGGAGTATTCATGAGCAAAGTCTGATGATGAGAAGGGAGGCTACAGAACCAGTGTAAAGCAGCCAATATACTCACCTGTCCAGCAGTAGGTTAGGAGCAAACAAAAGTTTTCCTGGATGTTCCATTGAGCGCCAGACAAGGCCAATCATGAGGATCTCTAACCAGGCACATTCTAACAGATGGACCTGATCATGGAGTGTCAAATCCACGAAACCTGAAACAAAATAAGAGTCAAGAATAAATTCAAATGAGTGGTTCTCATTTAGTGCCTCTATCATGCTACTACAGTAGAATATAAGCTCCCATTGGGTTGGGTGGGATTGCCTCATTTTTTAAATTTGCATCCTCAGCACCTGGCACAGTGAGATAGTAGGAACATAATAAAATGCTTTCAAATCTCTCTACAAGATCCCCTCCTACTTTTCCAGTCTTATTACACTTTACACCCCCTCAGTGCCCTCCCCTTCCTCCCAACACACACACACACACACACACACACACACACACACACACTTTTTTTTTTTTACACACACTTTCTCCAGTCAGTGACACTAGCATCCTCGATGTTCCTCTGGGCACTTTCACTGGCTGTCTCAAGTGCCTGAAATGTTCTCCTTCCTTATCTGCTCCTCCTACATTCCCTGGCTTTCATCAAGCTTCAGTCAAAGTCTCACCCTCTACAAAAACCTTTCCTGCTTCCCTCCTCCCACTTCAGAACTCCTTCCCTTCCTCCTGCCGTTCTTTCCATCCCTTCATATGCAGATTCCAGTTCAATTTGATAAGCATGTATTAAGTATTTATTAACCTAGTATGCCAGGCACTAGGCAAGACACTATGAATATAAAGATAAGACAAAGGCAAAAAAAAAAAAAGACAAATTTGTTGAATCTGGTATCAATCCCTTTTTACTGATGAGAAAATGTAAAGCAGAAGTTCTTAATCTTTTTTGTGTCATGGTCCCCTTTGGTAGTATCTGGTGAAGCCTATGGGACACTTCTGAGAATAATGTTTTTAAATGCATAAAATAAAATACATAAGAATACAAAGGAAATTAATTTTACTGAAATAGTAATAAAAATTTTTTTAAAAGTTTATTAGTTGAGAAACTTATTCTAAATTCCTGAAGATACATAGGGACTTGGAGACTAGTCAGAGTTTGATATAAAGACAAGTCAACAAACATTTGTTAAGTGCCTTCTGTGTGTTAGGCACTGTGCTAAGAGCTAGAGATACAAATAAAGGCAAAAACAATCCTTGTTCTCAAAGAGCTCACATGGTGACAACAATGTACAAAGAAGATATAGACAACATCTGTTGGAGCTAATCAGAGGGAAGGCACTAACATGATAGGAGACTAAAAAAGGCTTCTAACAGAAGGTGGGACGTTGGTGAGACTTGAAGGAAGCCAAGGAAGCAAGGAGGTGAAGCTGAGGAGGGAGAGCATTCCAGGCTTAAGGGAAAGGCAGTGAAAATGCTCATTGTCATGTATAAGGAATAAGAAGACTGATGTCATTGAATTCCAGAATACGTGGAGGGGTGTAAAGTCTAAAAAGTCTAAAAAGGAGGGAAGCCACCAAGTTGTGAAGCACTTTGAAAGCCAGGTAGAGGTTTTATATTTGATCTTGGAGAAAATAAGGTATCCCTGGAGTTCATTGGATGGGGGAAAGGGGTATCATGGTCAGACTTGTGCTTTAGAAAGATCTGTTTGACAGTGGTATGGATGATGGATTGGAGAAGGAAGAGACTTACGGCAAGGAGGCCAACCAGAAAGCTATTACAACAGTCCAGGCATGAGGTGGTAAGGTTCTGCACCAGGGTGGATGACACATCAGAGGAAAGCTCTGTGTGGGGAGTGTGGGGGGTGGTTGTATCAGAGGGGGCATTTATGAGAGATTCCATGAAGGTAAAATTGATTGATCTTGGCAACAGATTAGATATGAGGGTGAGGGAAAGTGAGGAGTTGAGGATAACACTTAGGTGATTGGGTAACTGGAAGATGGTGGTTCCCCTGGCTGTAATAAGAAAGTTAGGAAAAAAGGAGAGTCTGGGGAGTAAGATCTAATGAGTTCAGTTTTGGACACATTGAGTTTAAGAGTCTATGGGACAGTTCAAGGTGTTTAATATGCATTTGGAGTTGTGAGACTGGAAGTCAGGAGAGAAGTTAGGGCTGGATAAGAAGATTTGAGAATCATCTGCATTGAGAGGATAATTGCATCCACTGGAACAGGGGTGAGGAACCTGCAGCCTCAAGGCCACACGTGGCCCTGTAGGTCCTCAAGTGCAGCCATTTGACTGAATCTAAACTTCACAGAAGAAATCCCCTTAATAAAAGGATTTGCTCTATAAAACTTGGACTAAGTCAAAAGATCACACCCAAGGACCTAGAAGGCCACATGTGGCCTCAAGGCCCTCAGGTTCCCTACCCCTGCATGAAACTTATGAGATAACAAACTAAATCATATAGAGGGAGAAGAGAAAAAGGGCCAGGACAGAGATGTAGGGTTTCTCCATGAAGAGTAGGTACAAACTTGATGAAGATATAGACAAAGAAGTCTGAGTAGTAATCAGAAAGAGAAACAGAAGAAAGCAATTTCATAAAAACCTAGAGAGAAGAGAGAATCATGGAGAAGTGGGTGATCAACAGAGTCAAAGCCTGCGGAGAGCTCAAGAAGGATAGGGGCTAAAAAAAAACCATCAGATCTGGCCATTAAGAGATCATTGATAAATTTGGAGAGAACAGTTTTAATTGAATGATGAGGTTGGAAGCCAGACTACAAAGAGTTAACAAGAGAATAAGAGAAAAGGAAGTAGAAGTACCAATTATAGATGGCCTTCTCAAGGAGTTTAGCCACAAAAGGGAGAAGAGATATAGGACAACAGTAAAGAGATATAGGATAATAGTGGGATACGGCAGCTAGGTGGCGCAGTGGATAGAGCACCAGTCCTCAGGTCAGGAGGACTTGAGTTCAAATCCGGCCTCAGACACATAACACTACCACTAGCTGTGTGACTCTGGACAACTCACTTAACCCCAACTGCCCTCACCAAAATAAATAAATTAATTAATTAATAAATAAATAAATAAATAGATAGATAAATAGATAGATAGATAGATAAATTTTAAAAAATAATAAAAGATAATAGTGGGATGGACAGCTCAAAGGAATTGCTCTTCTCAAGGAACTTACATTCCACTTGGTGTCAGGTGAGAACTACACATATACACAGAAAAGTAAATACCTCCCCCTAAAAAAGTAAATAGGAAGGTTGTGGATTGTGACAAGCAATAGACAGGGGAAATGGTGGGTAGGGAGCTAAGGAAGGTAAAGGAGGCAATGTAGTTTCTCCCTACTATGACTTTTCTAAGGCCTGTTACAAGCAATATCTCATCCCTGGATCCTCTGCAAGCTCCCAACCCTACATCAGTCTCTCAAATCCTGTTTCCCAAAACATGTTACTCTGATGGTTCAGGACCATTTCTGGTATGGGATGAGGGATACATATCTCCCTCTCTTCAATACCCTTTTCCCAAACTGTTTAGGAAAAAGATAGAAGAGCTCCTTGGTTCCTATCCTTTCATATCCCTGGAGCCCTTCAGGTCTCCCTTAGTTTGGAGAGAAAATGTTACCCACTAAATATAAGGAAAAGCCAAGTCTTTGGTGAGATTCAGTTGTGGGTCAGGCTGCTATGCTGCAACCTTACTCCCTTAACCATATGAATAAATGGTTAAAAATAAAAATGGATCAAAACATGCTTGACCATTTGAAAGCACTCTGGAATGTGACTGATTGAATATATTTCTCTGTCTATTAAAATCTTGGACTGGCTTCTACATGCAAAGCAAATTTGTTGAACTCTGCACTAATCCCTTTTTACAGAAGAGAAAATATAAAGTGTAAGGAAGTTCAAGGGTTTTCTTTAAGTCTGGAAGATACACAGGTACTAGGAGCCCAGTCAGAATTTAAGCTCTGGTAACTAAGTTTCTGCTTAGTCACCAACCTGTTCTATCTCTTAAGACTGCATGATGGTAAAACTTATGTCATAATATACATACAGGGAGTCCCAAAAGTCTAAATGTAGTATGAAGATAATAAAGCTTAAAACCATACTAAAGATTTGGGTATACCCTATATAAAATATGAGGGGGGAAAGTTTTCACATGAAATTAACTACAATAATATATCTCTATTTCCTAGTGGTTGATTCATAGATAAAACTCCCCCATCCACAAAATAACACAATAAAGACAATAATTAAGATACTTGAGGAATAAATGACTTAAATCAGACAACAGTAAAATCTTAATTTTAGAGTTAGAAGGAAAGACTTTTAGAGGCCATCTGTTCCTGATTTTACATATAAGGAAATAGAGGTTCAATCAATCAGTATTCATTAAGTGCCTACTAGGCTCAGGGTAATGAAGTGACTTGCTGAGGACTGCAGAGCTAATATGTGGAGCTCTTGTCCATATCATCCCATGTTAGCTTCAGAGGGTCCACCCAATGTGCCAGAGGCCTTCTTTACTTTCTCTTGACATCTAGAGGATATCAGTTGAGCACTTGGTCCATCCATCTGTTATCTCTTGCTCTTGTCATATAACCAGTCGGTCTTCTTTTTTGGATTACACATTTCCCCAATGACATCCATTATTTGGCTGTTGTATCTTTCTCCTTGGCAAATAAGTCAAGTGATTGCTGCCTTCGGTTCTCTTTTGCTCTCCTTGTAATGGAAATGTATTTATATTAGCTAAACTTTCAAACAAAATTATTATTATAGTCTGTGCCATACTGATTTTATTTGAGGGCTCTTGTGCAGTTCTTTATATAATTTTTCTACCTCTTCATCATCTATAAATGTTAATGCAAAGAAGTTATTTTCAAGATTACCTTGTTGCAAGTATTTATCATGGACATGGAAGTACATGATGACCAAATGTCCCCTGAAATGATGTTTTTATTGCCTTTGGCTACAATAAAACAATTACATCAATTCTTTCATTTAGCTTTTCAAAGAGAATTTATGAACCATTCTTCCCATGAGTCACAACTTCCTTCTTTCTTCTAGTTTTATGTTGAGAATGTCAATGTTGATACAATATGCTTGTATCATGTAGTACTCTACTCGTTGGCCACTGGAAAAAGGTCTCACATTTAGAGTACTAAGTAGTTAAGGTAAAGTTTATAGGAAGCCCCCAAACTGTATGATTGTTAGTGC